AAGTTACTTTTATGATTATAAATTTTTATTTATTAGCATAAAAAATTAAAATAAATTATAAATCTATTTGGTGCAGTTTTATAGTATTTTAAAAATTGAACATATTTGCTTAAATAATTAGTCACATAATATGTTATTGTGTAATTATTCAAAATGCCCTCAAATGTTATAGTGAAAACAAAAAATAAAATAGTCTCCAATTATAGTCCTCAAAAAATATGATTATTTTTTGCCAAATAAGCTAAAAAAAAGTTGCAACAAAACACCATAATCAATTTTTAAAACAAATATGCTAAATCGTTTATTTTGTTAGTCATTTCGTATATTTCATCCACACAAAAAATTAAATCGATCTGATAATCATAGCTTATTTAATTTGTCACATTTATCACCAAAAATAATTGATTTATTTTTTAAAAAATACGTGACCATTTTTTAGGTAATAAACGTGATAAATTTAAATAGTGTATGATTATATAGGATCGATCTAATTTCTTTTTATGGATGAAATATCCAAAGTGCTCGACAAAATAAACTATTCAGATTATTGAAACAAAATCCTGGTGAATTTTATGAGCCTAAATAACACTCTCTAGTCCAAATTTTGGACTAGAAGGAATTATCCTCCTCAATTTTTTTGTATAGAAATTTATGTTTGCATATTGCTAATCTTTATCTTTACATGCATTCCTATTTACAAAACTTAAGATTTTTTAGTAATGATACATAAAACATTCTTTTTGTACAAAATATCTATACAAATTATGTAATTTCTATGGTCCTTTCATTTCTAATCAAAGAACTCACTTACTATTATATAATTTCAAAAAGAGCAAATGTTATGCTTATCATTTGCTTCTATTTTTATTATTTACCATCTTATGTGGTGCATTCGCATCATTAGTAACATAAGTCTAGCATAATAAATATTCAAAGTTCTGGGATGTGCCACATAAGATAGTCAATGGAAATGGAAAGTACAACATTTTCGTTCGAAAAATATTGACACACCTTCTAAAGTTATATATATATATATATATACACATTTTATGTTTATATAAATTTTTTTTTTTTTAAATCTATTACCAAATTGATTTTTGTTTTTGAGAAGTGAAGCAACCCTAAGAATGAACAGCGTATATCAGTGGTATCTTTGAAATATGCCTGTGGGCTTGAAAGCCCAATATGTGAAAGACAAAAGCCCTCTCATAGCTTTTACATTTTGGGCTGTCTCCATGAAATCACTCCAAAAATCTGCAACAACACACAAACAATTAGAAGAGGGTAAACGTGTAACTTCATTAGTATTTTGGGTTGCATGGGTCGGTTGGGAGGAAATTATCAATCCAATCACATTTGCATATTGAAAATTATCAAATTGACAAATTTTTAAACGGGAACTTACTGATAAGTCCCATGTACTAAGTTCAAACCTAGCTAATCCCAAAACAAAATATTTGTACCCAATTAGTCCAATAAATTTTTAATTTGTTACCAAAAATTTTTTTTTTTTTTTTTTTAATTTACAGGACTGTTCACATCTTACTACTGTCGGACTTCCGTCAAACGGTCGCCGGAGACTCGTCGGAATGTTCAACACGCCGGAGACTCGTCGGAATGTTTAAAGGCATGTTATGAAACTGTAAAATTTTACAGTCTCTAAAAAAATCTATAAACTGCAAAAATTTTAAAGTTTTAAAACCATGATTCAATTCCAGCACCAAAAAAAATTTGAACTTAAAATTTTAATTACAGTTTTCACCGCCTGTAACTAAAACTCGAAAATTACTTGTTCAGAATTCGAAAATTTTCTCATTACAAATCTGTGTGATATCTGTACAAATCTGAGTCATTACGGATCTATTTCAATGTTATTATAGATCTATTTCATCATCAACAACAACAACCATAGATCAACAACTATCCCAAAAAAAATCTGTAAATAGAGAGAGAAAGAGAGAGAAATTGACAAAGATATATACACAAATCTGTTCAATCTAAGCACAGATCTGAGGGTGAGCGTCTTCTTGTTCTTGTTCTTCATCGTCTTCTTGTTCTTGTTCTTCATCGCCTTCTTGTTTGACTTTAGGACTGAGATTAGGGTTAGAGGAGGAGGCGTAAAGAGGGAAGCAAAAAGCAGAGAGAGAGAGAAAAGGACTTTTGGGTGTACTCAAAAAGTTATGGGATTAAATGGTGTCCACATGTTCCACATGGGACCTATGGGTAATTTCCCCAATTTTAAACTGGAGGCCAACCACTCATAAACTGACTAGCCCCACCTGTGCACCTTCTCAAACCACATGGGTTGGGCTCTTTTTTGGCACACCCATATCAGTACATTGTTTCTAAATAACTGCATTGTGAAAAAAAATCCAAATGATTCAATATTAGACCTATAGCTTGACCAAGCCCTATGGCATAGGCGTAAGTAGCCAATGACCAGAATTAATGAGCAAAAGTCTCATCCCCGAGCATCACCCTAGAGACTCAAAACTCATGTCCTCCTAATTACCAAACCACATAGGCCCAAACACCATACTTCCAAAATATTGTTTCCCTTTACAAAAACATGGCTTGTATTGCTGAAACTAACTGATCTTATGACTAATGAACATAAAAATGATTTCTTTACATGGCATCACTACACCGAATTTCAATGAAATGTGTGCCTTTCTTTGTTTGGCATAGGCCATTATCATGGAATTCTATGAAACAGAACTCTTTCAGGCATTTCATCAAACAGTTCCCTTGCATCCCCAATCCTACTGTTTTCAATGTAGCCTTTCATCATCATACTTCCAAGAAACAGGGTCCCTATGAGCTATTTGAACAAAAAAAATGAATTAGCACTCTAATCATAATTTCACCCCTTCACATGAAGTCTCTATTTAGATGAAGTTTTGAAAAATTAATTCCACCACACATTTCAAAACACATTTCTCTCTCACGTTTGGCAGAGCTCCTTCTAAGCCAAAACTCTCACATTTTCGTACATACCTTATGTTTCGTCTTCTCCATTCTAAAAAGGTTCAAGTGCCAAAGAAGATCAAAGCTGAAGATACTTCACGGGTGACCTACAGCTCTTCAATCACTTCCTCCTCTCTTTGAACAATACTCTGACCTTCAAGTCCAAATCATGCCTGTGAACTGATTCCTTCCCACCCATAATTTGGCATCAACAAGCTCCCACAAATCAACTGACTTTCAGTTTGTGCATTGTTGCCGATTCACCCCCCGGGCAATGAAGCAACGACAACAAAGAGGTACAATTTTCATAAATTTCTATCCAAATATATGTATGTGTTCTGTATGCAATTGATTGATTTTGTGCTTAATTCCCAAATTTGTTTGTCTTAGGTCAAATTTGTGACGCCTTTTCTTGAATCAGAGGGCGTCCGAAGCAACGCACATCCAGCCACTATACCCAATCCATCACCGGTGACAACTATTCAACTCTTGCTGCTCTGGAATATATGTCCTTCAGTCGATCTAGTATGGAATAATTGAGAAGTGAAATGAATTATCTCTGATCTGATCTGGGCAAAAGTGACTGAAACTTCCAACCGGTCGACCGCCCCTTGGTAGTGCAGCCCTCTTTGCTGCTTCTGCTTCAGCTTCTTTTAGAGTGATTCATGATGAATTCACAAATGATTTTTGAGATTATGAATTCAAACTTTTACCACTACCTAGTTGAATTTTTCCTAGTTTTGTATTCAATTTTTTACTACATTCTACTTCATATCCTCAATCTTTTTCCTTATCTTGCTATTATTATATATTTGTTAGGGTGGGTTAGGGCTACATACTTCAAATAATGCTTGAAAGACAACATATCAACAAGCATTGGCTTAGTATATCACCATCTAAATAAAAATCTTATACTTTCTGGTACCAGAGGGCAGCTTCACAAATGGTCATCAAGAACAAAGCTCTTTACTCCAAATACCGAAAAATAAAACATATTAACAGCTATACTATCATAGCCAACCACAATGGTAGGCTTCAGCCTGAGCAGTAGTGTTTACAAAAATCTACCTAGGGTTCGCATGAGAAAAGGACCATTCTCTCTCTCTCTCTCTCTCTCTCTCTCTCTCTCTCCCTCTCTCTAACAAATTGAAAAACATACAAGTTGATCATGTCGTATGGGCTCATATAAAAGAAACAGTAAGCACACTCTCTCTAACAAATTGAAAAACATACAAGTTGATCATGTCGTATGGGCTCATATAAAAGAAACAGTAAGCACAATAATAATCACAGAAAATGTAACTACCTCTAAACATCAAGTACCTACCTCTAAACATCAAGTAGACTAAAATAAAATGGATTCACATTTTCCCCTGCACATTTAATTCAACAATCACAAATTTTGAATACCCAATACAACCAAAAGCTTAAGGAATTAGACCGAAATCCGGCTCTAACTCCCAAACCGGGAACTTGATTTGAGTCCCATCTTCTCACACAAGTCTCTCATGCATAGGCGGTCATGTGTTCCAAGTTTCATGCTAATCTGACTCCATTTAGTGATTTTGGGATGTGAACCCCTCAAATTCTAAGGTTCCTAAGGAACTAGTTTGCCAAGATCGAAATCCAGCTCTAACTCCCAAACCAGAAACCCGATTCAAGTCCCGTCTTTTCCCACAAGTCTCTCGTGCCTTCGGCGGTCGTGTGTGCCCAATTTGAACTAGTTTGCCTAGACCAACGTCATTTTGGTAAAGATCCATCATGTGAGCATGAAACTAGTTTTTTCAAGTCACCAAATAAATGCTACATACACTACAATAGAAAAGGGTAAACACAAGAACTTAAAGTGTGAAGGAAAATAAAGCAGTATATTTGAAATGATAATCTCTGTGGGAAACCTCTTGCAACATGTTTACATGTTTTGGATCTCTTTAAAGCCAAAAAACACCAAGACAATTGCCTAAAGTACGATTTTCAACATGTAGAAGGATAGCAAACAATTTAAATGCAAATTCATTAAATATGTGCCCCGAGTGTGTTCTTAGTTGAAGAAAGCTCAAAAGGTTCAATGATCAAAATTGACGCCTTGGCCTAGCTTCAGCCATGCTTACTCGGATTGACCTGCCATTTAGGTCCTACAGCAGAGATTATAAGTCAGTTTTAGTTGCAGAAAAAGAGAATGTTGGATAATAATACCTTACAGTAGATATAAACTCTCGGTTGGGTAAATTGGATAGAAACAAAACAAGGTGAGAAGTCCATGAGAATTTTGGAAATTCTATATTCAATTTGATCAATGAATGAATGTTTACAAGCACTTCTCCAGCATGTCCATGTCCCACATAAACAACATATATCATCTGATGTTATTGGCAAATAAACGCATATACTAGCACAAGAATATACTGTCTCCAGCTACAAAATCTTACAATCATACTCATAATAAACAATTAGCAGTGTCAAAAATCCTATACATAGAAAGACTGATGGACATCCAATGGTGTCCTTGAACTTTGGAACTCTAATACTTGGTCTCATTGATGCATGTTAACTAACAAAAGTTACATGAATACTAGACCACCAGTTGGCACTACCATGCCCACCATACGAATATAATAAATTGTCAAATATTATAGGTAGATAAAAAGCATAATAAGGATATATGTATGTCATTGAGTGTCTCCTAGTAGCAAAATCTGTTCGAAAATCTAGCAGTTATCTTTCGAAAAATAAAATTAGAAAAAAGAAAATCTATAAAATTATACACATAAAACTAAATTAATGTTTGGTGTCCATTAAAAAAAAAAAATACTTGAATGATCACATAACATATATATTTTTCCATCTACAAATTGGCCAGTAAAATATAATATAAAAAAATCCCAATTTTTAATGCAGTAGATAAGTGAAGAAAGAAATACATGCAATGCTAACTGTTAGAATTACTTCCATAAGAAATCCCATGCATCACACTATTATTTAAGTTAAAATGGAAAATTTGTACAAAGTAACAGAATTTCAGCTCTGTATTAGTATGAGAAACTGATTTTTTTTCCCTTTGCAATTATTGATTGAATCAACAACAAAACAAACCCAAAATATGCTGACAAACAGAAGGTCTGAAAGGAAATGAAAACTAGAAAAGTAACAGGCTTAAGTTGGTAGGCCGCTATAAAATTCCAAATACATATAACTTTCTAGGAATCAAGCAGGGCAGAAAAATAATAAAGACAAAAAACACATAATCAAGAAAAAGATAATCAATATACTTACAACACCATCCAATGATTCAATTGCATTATTGACCTCATCTGAGGAACCAAAGGTCACAAACCCGAAACCCCTTGATCTACCACTGTCTCTGTCATAAACAACCTTGGCTTCCATAACCTTACCTTGCTCGCTAAACAAGGTTTCAAGTGCTAAATCATCAACAGCCCACGAAAGATTTCCCACATAAACCCTATGGGAGCTATCGGAACTTCCTCCACCCCTGGGCCCTCTAAAAGAAGATTCTCGATCTCCCTTCGGAGGAGGAGGCCCAGAACTCACCCTCAATGCCCTGCCCTCAAGTTCCTGCCATAGATCATAAATTCTCACTTAGATGCAATGGACCTAAAGCTCAAGTTTAAAATATATGAGAAAAATAAACAAATTTAATTGGGATATAATCAATAATTTCTGTCAAAATTGAAATTCCAAAGACAATTTAAAAGGTAACGTCGAAATATAGTTTCTTCTAGGACCTAAGCTTGTCTTGGCTTCCATTATCAACTAAGTGAACTCAAACAGTGATATTTTTAGAGTTAAAACCTGTGTTATCAAAAAACCTCAATACCCTAACAAATTATGTATTGGTATGCACGTTCCAAAACACAGTACACTATTGTTTCAAAATGATAAATTTAGTGATTTGAAGCGATCTCGAAGTTTTTTCCAATATATTTCCTTAAATGTTATCTTACGAGAAAAAAAAATCAAATATAATGAAGTAAAATCTAAGGAGGGTTTAAGTTTTGACAAGGAAAAAAAAAAAAAAACAACAACAAAGACAATATCATCATCATTTTACTAGATGTCTAATAGTTAAAAGAAAATTACTTCAGAACTACCATAAATTCTTAAGTGTAACATATACAAGTCTACCCCTATCGTACCAGATTTTAGAGCATCTGGCGTACCACATTCCCATTCCCATTCCCATTCCCATTCCATGCACCAAAAGGATCCACGTTTAAGGTAACATATGTTAAAACAGTGAAGATATATGGAAGTCCATGGTTCCGATTTCTATGTTCCAACACACACAATCAAATGAAATGTGGAAAACAACAAAGCTTACATAGCCATTAAATTGCTGAGCAGCTGCCTGAACCTCATCAACTGTAGACATTGTCACGAAGCCAAACCCTCGGCTTCTTCCAGTTATCTTGTCATATATAACCTGCCAAAGCAGCTCAAATTTGCGCATAAGAATCTCTTTTTACCTTTTTTTTTTTTTCCCCACAAAAATCATTGCAACATTAAAACCCAAAGAAGAAATATTTTAACTCAATTCTCTGAACCCCACAGTGATTCTATTTCATTTTTAGAATTTTGACTAGCAAAACTGGAAAAAGAACCGAAGTTCACAAGGGGCCAAAAAAAAAAAATCCCTTCACACCAAATAATAAACCTTGTTACAATTATATAAAAAGTAAAAACCCATATCTATTTCATAGCTTTGTAACAGACCAAACCCAAAGAATAAAATTTTAACTCAATTCTGAAGCCCGTAGAAATTCATATTTCACTCAAAGAATTTTCACAAGCAAAACTTGAAAAATAACAGAAGTTCACAAGAAAAATAAATAAATAAATAAATATGAAAATGAAAACAACCCTTCACACCAAATAACATAAATTTTACATCAAACAAAACATTATCTAGAAAACTAAAATCTCAATAAACCCTAAACCCATATATATATATATATTTCATAGATACATGCAATGCTAACTGTTAGAATTACTTCCATAAGAAATCCCATGCATCACACTATTATTTAAATTAAAAAGGAAAATTTGTACAAAGTAACAGAATTTTAGCTCTGTATTAGTATGAGAAACTGATTTTTTTTCCCTTTGCAATTATTGACTGAATCAACAACAAAACAAACCCAAAATATGCCGACAAACAGAAGGTCTGAAAGGAAATGAAAACTAGAAAAGTAACAGGCTTAAGTTGGTAGGCCGCTATAAAATTCCAAATACATATATTTTTCTCCCAACTTTTTAGGAATCAAACAGGGCAGAAAAATAATAAAGACAAAAAACACATAATCAAGAAAAAGATAATCAATATACTTACAACACCATCTAATGATTCAATTGCATTGTTGACCTCATCTGAGGAACCAAAGGTCACAAACCCAAAACCCCTTGATCTACCACTGTCTTTGTCATAAACAACCTTGGCTTCCATAACCTTACCTTGCTCACTAAATAAGGTTTCAAGGGCTTAATCATCAACAGCCCCCGAAAGATTTCCCACATAAACCCTATGAGTTAGGATAGAAAGTTCAATCATAAATTAGAAATAGAACATCAAGAGCATTAGAAAGTTGAAAATCTTTATGTACCTATGATGCTTAGATACAACAGGGAAGCAAAACATTCTTTTAATCTTATCATGACTTGTAAAATTCATTGAATCATTTTATTTTATTTTATTTAAAAAAAATTAAGGATAACTCAAGTCTACAATATTGGTAATTAAGGAACATCTGGTTGCTGAAGTAACTGATTGAAAAAAGTAGATACAATCCAAGAAAATATAAATTGCAAAATGCCAAAAGAAAAAAAGTTCAATTTGCAATGAAGATAAATAAACAAACCAAAGCACAACAGATCCAACCAGATGGATAGGGCATCAAGAGCAACTTCAGCATTATTCATATTCCCTGAGATTATAATCAACACTCTATAATAAAAATTCTCCAACCTGAAAAATAACAAGTAGATTTCAAGTTCAAGTTCAAATTCAAATTCAAATTCAAAT